TGTATGTATACTGTATGGTTAGATACAGGGTATTATGTCAAACTAGTGCTTTGTGGACTAATCAAATCCTATCTGTTGGTGATCCAAATGGATGCTGCTGCTGCACTGTGTACAGATTGGTCCTTTTTGTGGTGTCTTGTTTTTTGAGTCACACAGTGAAAGACAACTGAACAAACTGTGATTTACATTATGGTGTTTCTGTTTCTAAATGATGCAAAAACAACTCTCAGAGTTTGTACTGCTGCTGTCCTTGAGTGATGGACTGAGTGAAAGAAAACTGTTTACTTCTGACAATTTGTCTCCAAAGATATATGCTAATGTTGATCTATGGACTGTCCAATTCTCCGTCTGTCAAGTGTTCTGTCTAAAGAATGGCTGTGATCAAGCCAAAGAACATTTAAGGGAAATTAGGGTTAGGAAGTAGGGCAGATTCTGTCCTTCAGTGCTGCTAGTTTTCAAATGAGAAAGAGAAACTACCTGTCTGCAGAGAAAAAGGACACGTGGAAAATAGTGGCGGGATGTCTGCCAGCACTGTATGTGAACAACTTTTCCCTCCTATTCTCAGTCATCCTCACCCATTCTTACCTGCTCTCTTTCTTCCAGACAAAGGAAGACAGGACTTAACAGACATTCTGTATTACAGCAGGCTATTTTTTACAGTTTCTCCTTAGTGCTGTGAATCTGCCTTACTGTGACCTTCAATGGGTTTATGTGCCTTCATCTAGAAACATTAGAGCACCTGTTTGTGCATGTGTGTGTGCACGGGCACATGTGTGTGGCATATTATGAGGACAGAGTTGCTTGCTCAGCTGGTGGTTAGAGGTTTGTCATTGAGATAGGTTTGATTCAGTGATGTGGAATAAATATAATTTCTTCACTTTATAATATTGTTGGTCAAATCTTTACTTTTCAGGTCTCTTACTGTAATCTGTGAGGCAGGTCATTTAAAAATCTCTGTTGGTGAGATCAGTCTTCCAAATTAGCAGAGGCTCAAATATCTACTTGATGAAAATTGTAGGCCTTTTTGTCTCTGGCCGCAGTTGGCCAACACTGCTGCTGAGAGACTGAGCATTAGAGTAGAAGAAAAAGTACATCATCATCAAAATATAGAATTTTTAGATTACTGTATAGATGCGCAAGTGCAGGCATGATCTAGAGAGAGATAGCAGCTAATACAGCATCAGAAAGTGATATGTGCAGGTATCCACTGACAGTCATGGTGACACGGCAGGTTTGGATCAGCGGAGCGTACCGTACTTGCCTTTCCTCCTGGGGATAGTTCACATTCAGACGCTAGGCCACCACGGCCAGGCCACCTCCCTCAGTGGTCATTATCTGCAAGGAATGCAGCCATTATTACATTGTTATCACTGTTATGTATCTGAAATCTATTTTTAGTCAAAGTATACACTGCCCTTTGTCTCCTCAACCCACAAGGCCACTGGTCTTAAAAGAAAAACTAACATAGCTAGAGTTGCACAACAATCAAATTCTAAGAAATGCATCTGCTTTGCATTGCATTTTCATATCTCAGTGTGCAGTCAGATCATTTTGTGCCCTGTAGTTTATTTAAAATGCCATAGCTCACTTTCCCTTCTTTGACCAGAACAAATGCAGAAACAGGAGACTTATGAAGAGCATTTCCAAACAGGACTTATTGTTGCAGTTGCACTATACATATTTCAAGTGATGTCCTTATTGTGCATGTGACAATAAATAGATCAGAAATAAAGTATTACAAATTTTCATCTTTGCCGACACACAGTTAATTAGAACAGTAGTGTAATTATACTTTGGTTGCTGGATTTACACATTGATAGGACCTGAGTGCAGACTCCATTCTATATGGAATAAGGCAAATGAGTCAGCCAAACAGTGAACCTTAGCTTTTACTGGTTATCAATCATTAGTTTTATTACCTCTGGTTTTAGGACCCACAGGTCATGTGCTTGCTTTTCTGGAATAAGGCCATGCACTACAGTAACTGCTGTTTTACTGAAGCTCTAAAAGTGCTGTAATTAATGGTATATTTAGCACAGTAATTTCCAAAACATAGCATAGAGTGCGGAAAATTGATCAGTGGGTTTTATTTTTTTATTTGAAATGCTCTATTTTATACTGTTATGCTTTTATTTTTCATTCAACTACACAAATATAATTTATCGCTCAATGTACTAGAGAAACCAAATGCTGCTGCTGCACATATTGACCAAGGTGACAGGAACTTAACATCCCTTCCTAAAAGCCTGCACTGGTTGCCTGGTGTTCAGAGGCTGAAGCAAACTTGAAATATTATTCCCAAATCCTCATATCAAATCCTAAAGCTTAGAGCTGTGTTAGACTTTAGTCTTGAACTTAACCACATAGAAGCCTGTGAATGAACAGATCAACAATTACCTACCATGAAATTTATTAATATTTTATAGCAGTTATTAATTATTATAAAGCTATTATGTTTAATAATTTACCGCTAATTGACTCGAAACATTATTCTACTGTGAACCAAAAGTGTCAGTTCTTGGATATCCTTTTCTTATTATTTGCAGGTTGTTTTTTTTTTAATTAAATATTACACTTTTCAGTTGACATTTGGATTTCAATATTTAACTTATAAAAGCAAAGTCTGATCCACATTAGCTTTACATTAATTTTTTTTTAGTACGTATAAAAGATGATTACATACAGTAAGTCTTTAAATCATTTTAGTTTTAATATTCATGATTTTTGAGACATGTACCTCAGATAAATATTTTAAGAAAACAATTTATACAGCACATTTAAACTGGATTTTAAAAACTACTTCTGAATAGCTGAATGTGTCCAGCCATATGTTTTTCTTCTACACAGTATAGATCAAATTTGATTGGAGCTATTTCATTTTATTTCTGGTTGACAAATACAATTAGTAGGCCTATGATGTCTTAATAATTGTTGAGACAAGCTTCAGATGTTACCCAGCCATTTAGTTTTCACAGCCTTTTGAGAAGTAAATTCAGAATTGCTGTCTGGGGTTATAAATGTAAAAACTTTTTCACATTGCAGTGAGTGGAGCAAGGCGAAATAAACACTGCAGTAGACTTTTTTAGCCCTTTGGATGTGAATGAAAGTGCAGAATTCCTTGTTTTCAGTACAAATTGGAACATGTGCATCTGCTTCCACAGACTCACCATATAGACTCAACTGATCTCTGAGGAGCACTGCATACTATTAAGTTACTCCTGCAGAGCACACAAAAGTCTAACAGCCTGACAATAAAAAGAAATCACTTTAATCCCAATTTCAGACAATGGGCAAGTCAGCAGAGCCTGAGGATCTTTAACATACAGAACTGCAGTGGGAAATGAGAAGATGCCTTGCACTGTTCTAAACTCAAAATTAACTCTAAATGTGAATTTATATAAACAGATGTGGATGTTTCAGAATTTTTCAACTAAAATGAATTTACATGTTTAGCCACTGGGGAAATCTGGCATTAAGCAGAGTCGATTGTGTAGATTTTGTGAGAAAGAGGACAAGAAATCATTTCATTTGTTCTGGTATTGTAGAGAAGTAGAACTGTTTTGGATGGAAGCTGAAAAGCAGGTTTCTTCCCACAGCACAAGCTTCTATAGTTGTCATTTCAGTATTATGTTAGGATTTAAGAGAAAATAAGGAAGGATAAATTCTGTACAATATTGTCATTATGATGGAAAAATACTTTATAATTAAAAGTATACAGCGACAACAACTAAATATAAAACATTTTGAAAAGTACTTCAAGCTCCAGTTTTTTCTAGAAAGGCTACAACTGAAAAAATAATTTAATATTTAAATTGTGAAGGTGGGTGGAATCTTGAGTTGATATTTACATAGAGGTGTGCCCATATCTAATTGTTAATATAAATAAATGAAATATATTTGTGCACATCTAATACATGCATTTAGAGGTGACTATGTGTTGCTGTAAATATACTGTACCTTTAGGAGATATCTGTGGTATTACTGTACCTTTTGGCCCGAGAAAAAGTGACCCTCTGGTTTTCTCCCTCAACAAACAATAAGATAATTGTCTTCTTTTTGTTTCTTTTGGATACTGTATTTGTTTTTTCCTTTTATTTATTATTTATTTTTTTTTATGTTTTTCTCTTCTGTGTGGTTAGCTTGTTTGTATGTTTCTATTCCTTATTGCATAGTACAATTTTGTCAGAAAAAAAAAACTTTAAATCAGACACAAAGCTGAGGAATAATATCACCGTTACCAGTTCAAATGACCTGTTGAAGAGGAAAGGTATAATAAAGTAGTCATTCCAGTCCACGTGGAAAATTTTCTTTCTTCAGCATGACACAGTGTGATTGTAACGTCTTTAAACCACAAGCAGTATGATAAGCATTATGCATTTGCTCACCTCCTTTCAATCTGCACATTGAAACACATGCTGTACGGTTTTTCCCAGCCTGCAATAAAGCCAAGGTCAGATTTTGAGTCATTAGACTGCCTTTCACTGTGTGCATAAATCACTGTGGTTCATAAGGAAGTATACCTGTTAATAGGTCTTTAATGGCCCTTTAGAAGTCATGCGGCTATTAAGAAGTGCCTCCAGCATGTTCCTGTAATTCATAGTCTCATATTAACTCTCATTTTCCTCATGAATATGGCCATTTCTTCTGTGCTAATCAACCCGTCAACTTTCCCTCAACACTTTGTGGCAAAGAGAATCATTATAAAACATTTCAGTTATTCACTGTAACTCTAATGGCTCTTGTTACTGCATTGGCTTTGCTGATTATATCCTATCCTATTTTTTAAGCATCTGTTATGAATTAATATCTTTCTATCATCCCAGATTAGTTTAATCTTTTTCACTGCAGTGATGTATATTATACAGGGTCTGTTAGCTGCAATTTTCCTGATTGGTTATATGAACCTTTTTCTAATGGAAACTTCCATGTTGATATTTCTTGGCAATTCATTTGAAGAACAGCATAGATATGTGTAAATGCTACCCACAGGACAACATGTGCTGTAGCTCTGTACTTCAGACAATAATATTAGTAATCAGTTCTCCAACTCACCTTTATCACTTCTTTGGCTTTTATGACTTATGAGTTAATCGTTAAGCAATGCCTCTCTGTCCCCTAGGATGGAGCAAGGACATATGTGAAACCCCTTGTTCAGTTTTCTGAGGGTTGATCCTGAGAGTTATCCAATAGCTGGCCGTCAGTATATAGCCCAGGGATGCAGGGTATAAAGGTAGGCCACCTGAGAGAAACGGCACTTACAGAAAAGAAGCTACGAGCAGCTGACGTGACCTTAGTAAATTTAATCCAGACCTAGTTTATACATCAATAAACGAGGGTAACAGCACCAGTTGATGCAGTGCTCTGCTCTTTTAAAACACTGCTGAATAAGTGAAGACTTAGGACCTACATTACTGTTTGATCTTTGGCTGTTTAAATCTGAGAATCTCTATTTCTGATGGAGAGGTTCAAGTCTATTGGAGGGGAGCATGTTAACCCAGCTTATAATTCCACTCTGGACGAACCTCCGGTATATGAGGAGAGCAACTTCTCTAATGGAGAACACCGGACAGTTCGGCCCTCGGTGGTCAGTGCCTTTGGTCATGACACGTTGGACCGAATGCCCAATATTGACTTCTATCGCAATGAAGGCAGTGTGAGCGGGCACCGAGCTGTGCGACCGTCCCTGCAGGAGCTCCACGATGTGTTTCAGAAGGTAAGAGTGTGAAGTTGGTCTGTACAAATGATACAGATCCTCATCACTCATGTCCTCTATTTGCCTTTGTCTTTTCCTTGTATTGCACAGTTTGCAACCATGTTCCTCTTCTATTACACATTATTGTCCTTCAGTTCACCTTCTGCAGAATTGTAGCTTAAAGCATTTTGGTTTTGTCCCTGAGTCCCAAATTGAAGCCAATGACTCTGAAACTGCGGTTTTTGTTCTGCTACTCCTGAGCTACCCAGGTTAAAGCCTCAAAACAGAGTGAGATGAGATATTTTACAATTGTTGAATCATTCAGACACCACCACATCCACAGTCATAATTCAGTCATTATCTTCTTCCCTAAAGACTTGTGAAACACAAAATTTATTTCTGGAACTCATCAGCATTCAACATACTTGACCCATTTAAGATGTTTTAGTGTTTTATTCTTAGGCTGTTATACGACCTTGTGTTGAGAGATGGGGTTACAGCTTCGTCTGGGTTTTATATATTGAACTGCATTTCTGAACTAACAAAAAAATTTAAAGGATGTTTTAGCCCTTTTCCCACTTAAAAACAAAAGAAATAATGTGCCACATTTATAACCAATTGCAAAATGTAGTATGAATGTGCAAGGCCATCTATCACCCAGCCATCAGTGTGCTGACAAAAATGTTTTAAAATATTTCACCAGGACTCAGTGATTCATGCAAGAATCCCCAGATTCATCTGGAAGGACTAGGTACAGCTGACTCATAGTTTTGTTGTCAAAAAATAAGATTTTACTTGATTTAAACAACAGGAAATGACTACTGTAGAAATATTATATCAGCAGTTTAAATGACAAAAGGTTTCATGTTTTAATTAGTCTAAGATTTGAATGACTCAGTAAAATAATTTCCTGTAATTACAGAGCATCCAGAAAGTATTCATAGTGGAACAATACTCCGTAATGACAATGTGAAAAAAGTTTGTTTGAAATCTTTGCAAGTTTATTAAAAATAAAACATGTAAAACTCACATGTACATAAGTATTCACAGCCTTTGCCATGACACTCAAAGCTTAGCTCTGGTGCTTCCTGTTTCCACTGATCATCCTTTTAGATGTTTCTACAACTTGACTGGAGTCCACCTGTTGGAAATTCAGTTGATTGACCATGATTTGGAAAGGCATACACCTGTCTGTATAAGGTTCCACAGGTAACAGTGCATGTCAGAGCACAAACCAAGTCATGACGTCCAAAGAATTGTCAGTAGATCCCTGAGACAGGATTGTATCAAAGCACAGATCTGGGGAAGGGTACAGAAAATTTTCTGCAGCATTGAAGGTCCCAGTGAGCACAATGGCCTCCATCATCTGTAAATGGAAGATGTTTGGAACCACCAGGACTCTTCCTAGAGTGGGCCACCCGGTCAAACCGAGTGATTGAGAGAGAAGGGCCTTAGTCAAGGAGCTGACCAAGAACCTGATGGTCACTGAAAGAGCTCCACCATTTCTCTGTGGAGAGGAGAACAACCATCTCTGCAGCACTCCACCAATCAGGCCTGTATGGTAGAGTGGCCAGACGGAAACCACTCCTCAGTAACAAACACATGGCAGTCCACCTGGAGTTTGCCAAAAGGCACCTGAAGGACTGTCAGACCATGAGAAACAAAACTCTCTGGTCTGATAAAACAAAAATTGAACATCTCTAGAGAGATCTGAAAATGGCTCTGCACCGACGCTCCCCATCCAACCTGATGGAGCATGAGAGGAACTGCAAAGAAGAATGGGAGAAACTGCCCAAAAATAGGTGTGCCAAGCTTGAGGCTGTAATTGGTGCTAAAGGTGCTTCAACAAAGTATTGAGCAAAGGCTGTGAATACTTATGTACATGTGATTTTTTTTGTTTTTTATGTATTTTTACATTTTTGTTTTTTTATAAATTTGCAAAGATTTCAAACTAACCTTTTTCACATTGTCATTATGGAGTATTGTTTGTAGAATTTTGAGGACAACGATGAATTTTATTCATTTTGGAATAAGGCTGTAACCTAACAAAATGTGGAAAAAGGTAAGAGCTGTGAATACTTTCTGGATGCACTGTACAAAGTCCATACCACCGCAACTGAAAGGCCAAGAATGTTTTGCCAAAATCTCTTTTCTTTCAGTAAACGGAAATGGAACACATCTGACAGGTCATACTAAATGAGATGTTAGACAAGAGAATCATTTAACAGTTAGTATTCATCTTCATAGAAAGTTTGAATGAGGTTTGTCATTTTGTATCCTCTGCATTTTTCTCTTCACTTTTCAAGGACAGATGCACAGGGAAATAATATCTGTGCAAATACTTCATCATTCTTTATCCAAATCAAACCACCATGTTTTTTAAATTTTCCCCTGTGTATTCCTGAGAAGCCAATCACACATCCCTAAAGACAGTCTGTGTCATAGATGGCAGTTTCCTAATACTGACCCTCCTTTTCTTACAATTCAAAAATTATATATTGACATAAAAATGCTAAAAGCACACAAGCTTTATGAATATATTCAAGTTCCCTCTAATAAGACAAATTTAAACATTTCCTTTCCTTTATATTTGCCTCTATGTCTTCCCAACAGAATGGAGCGATCTCTGACACCATGCAGGACGACAAGCTGGGGAGCGATGGGATCCCTTCTGATGATATTGAGTCTGTCCTTCCTACTGACAGTGGGGAAGGAACTGTAAAGTTTGGCTGGATAAGGGGTGTCCTGGTGAGTTACGCTGGGTCATGATACGCTCCCTCTGCTTTATAGAAGCAAGATCGCTCTATATAGTTGGATCTGGCATGAAGAGGCTTCATTTTAAGTAGTTTAGTTTTTTAAAAGCTTTAGTTGTTTGGGTCATCATTGAAATAAAAACTATGGTTATAACTTCTCTAAGTTCAAGTACACATTTCTCACTTGACACCATATTAAATCATAACCCACACTGAAGATTTACAGTAAACTGTTCTTCTTCTCCACAGGTGAGATGCATGCTGAACATCTGGGGTGTCATGTTGTTCATCCGTCTGTCCTGGGTTTTTGGTCAGGCAGGCTGGGGTGAGGGACACAACGATGCATGTCAGAGGGGATACATTTTGGCTGACTGTTACACCATTCTGTTAATGTTTTTTCCAACTGCCATTTTTCACCTATGGCCACTTTCTTCTGTTTGTTTACATTTGCTAAGGTTTTGGGGGGAGTTCTTCTTTTTACAGCTCAGATTCGGTTGGGAACTTATGCAGGCCTTTGAGAGAGAAGAGAGAGTAAGGATAAATTATATGAATGGCAATGGTGGAAAGTAACCAAGTTCATTTGCTCAAGTACTGTACTTAAGTATATTTTGAGGCATCTGTACTTTACTATTTTCATTTTCTGCTACTTCATGCTTTGGCTTCACAACATTTCAGAATCAAATATTGTACCTTTTACTCCACTACATATATTTGATATCTTTAGTTACCAGTTACCCTTCTTACTCAGGTTAATTATACACTATAGTCATATGACTTCATTGATTCCTGGTGAAAAATTCATAAGATACCCAGAAACATGTTAAGTCATTCACAGTAGAAGCATATAAGCAAGTTAAAAATTACTCCAATGTTAACAGCTGCAACATTAAATGTGATGTGGACAATAATACATCAATAGTTATAGACCAATAATATAATATACATTCACATGTAGTGTGCCATTCTGCATAATAAGTACTTTTACCTTTGGTACTTGAAGTATATTTTGATGCTAATATGTCTGTACTTTGACTTAAGTAACATTTTTCTGCAGGACCTTTACTTGTAATAAAGTATTTTTACACTGTGGTATTGCTACTTTTATTGAAGTAAAGAATCTGAGTACTTCTTCCACCACTGGTGAATGGCTTCATGAATGAGTTCTTTGCTATTGATTAGCATCAGATTTTGTTTAACTAGTGTAGTGGTGTAACTAAAAGGTTTTGAGATGCGGAGAAATCTGCAGGCAGTAGGCGGAATTGGTACAGAAGAAGATGTTTCTGTCTCATAGCGTCCAATTTGACTAACACTGTGTATAAAGCGGACTGTGTGGAGACCACCAAATAACAATGTTAAGCTGTTAAATGTGTGCGTTTCAGGTCTGGGAATTGTGATCATTGCTCTGAGCTGTGTGGTCACCACCGTTACTGGCCTTTCCATGTCTGCCATTTGCACTAATGGTGTGGTGAGAGGAGGTCAGTCAGTGCACTGTCAACCCACACACGACAACTTCAGATTCAGAAAAACAAAACAGATGAATTCATCTACTGATTAACCTGTCATTACTCATATAATAGAGCACTGTCACTGGCACTAACAGTTAAAACATTATTAATAAATGTATGTAGCTTGAGATAACACACACTCATTCTGACATAAAATCTTTTACGGAGAGAATGGAATGCCCAGGAGGCCAGTGAGTGTAGATAAAGACAAAAGGCTCAAAACTGGCCCTGGAGGTAGGCCCCTGAAACCATCGCTGTTTTACAGCTTACCTAACTTGTCCTGACATTAAATCAAAGAATTAGTGATGTGTTGATTAATCATCCACTACTCTGTGTGTGTGTCCTTGCAGGAGGAGCCTACTACTTGATATCTCGCAGTCTGGGGCCAGAGTTTGGCGGGTCGATCGGCCTTATTTTTGCCTTTGCCAATGCAGTGGCTGTAGCCATGTATGTGGTGGGATTTGCTGAGACCGTGGTCGACTTGCTCAAGGTGTGAAACGTTGAAATGATCAGGTGACTGTAAGAGGAAATGAGCAAATGTTTCATTCCAGTATTTGATTATACACTTATCTGTCCCTTACATCTGCTACACTCAGGAGAACGAGGCCACCATTATTGATGGTGATATAAATGACATCAGAATCATTGGATGTATTACAGTGGTGCTGCTGTTGGCCATATCAGTTGCTGGAATGGAATGGGAGGCCAAGGTTAGATAAAAGGATTACACCAGCTGTTCACCAGTCTTGGGGGTTGATGTGATAACATGCAACCATAATTTTAATCAGTTTAAGTCTTTTGTACTGACAGGCACAGATTGTTCTACTCGTTATCTTGCTGGTGGCCATAGGGAACATGTTGGTAGGAACAGTCATTCCTGCAACCAAAGATAAAAAATCCAAAGGCTTCTTCAATTATCAATGTAAGATATCATCTCTAAAGCAGTACATATTTTTATTACAAATAATCAGCATTTAACTTAAAAAACGGAACATTTGATTTGTTCACAATGCACTATTCACCAGAATTGCTCTGTTCCTTTCCTCTCTCACTTTCTTTTTTACAGCAAACATTTTCTTAGAGAATTTTACTCCAGCTTTTAGAGGTGATGAGACCTTTTTCTCAGTATTTGCCATTTTTTTCCCTGCCGCAACCGGGATCCTGGCTGGAGCCAACATCTCGGGCGATTTGCGGGTAATCTTTTTCATACAGAGGTCATTGCATAAAAATAAATCACTTCATTATTATTATTTTTTGTACTGTGAATCATGGTACAGTATCCAAAACCATTTATTTATTTATTCATAAACATTTCTGATTATGTCTTTTTGGAAACATTTTTCAACATAGCCACTCTTAAAAAAGGCTGTCTTATTTTATAGGATCCCCAAGGAGGCCTACCTAAAGGAACCTTGCTTGCCATTCTGATCACTGGTATCACGTACCTGGTTGTGGCCCTTTGTGTATGTAAGTACAACAATCCATGAAATGCTGCTCCAATGAGATATACAATTAAAAACGTGCAGATTCCAGAACTATAAAATCTAAAGAAAGGTATAGGTCTTATGAAGTGCTTTAAAAGATGGTACTGATTCTGCAGACTAGTGGCTAGCATTGTCTTGATCATAAAAACAGACACTGGAATATTTAGTATTTAAGATCACTGGTGTCACTGGTTAGACTTTATAAAAATTCCTAAGTGTCTGTTCTTCTTTCTAACTGCTCAGCTGCCACTGTTGTCCGTGATGCAACAGGAAACATAACAGACCTCATTACTCCTGGAATACCATGTAATGGTTCAGCTATAGCTGCTTGTGAGCTCGGCTACAATTTCTCTTCCTGCGAACTGCAAAGTTGCAAATTTGGCTTGATGAACAACTTCCAGGTACACAGCCTCAAAAAGCTAATCTACACACAAGAGGGGGTGTCATTTCACCTCTAATGCTCTCCTCTCATCAACTGTGGTTAAGGTGATGACCATGGTGTCAGGCTTTGGCCCCCTCATCACTGCTGGAACATTCTCAGCTACCCTTTCTTCAGCCCTGGCTTCCCTTGTCAGTGCTCCCAAAGTCTTCCAGGTCAGTAACTTCCATCTTTCTAAATGCACTGCAGTGCAGTGTTTTAGAGGAACTCTCCATGGAGATGCAACTAATTTACTGAACTTAACTCCAAAAACAACAACAACAAAAAAGTCTTTTCTAACTAAACCTCGGTCTCTCCTCAGGCTCTGTGCAAAGACAACATCTACAAGGCCCTGTATTTCTTTGCCAAGGGGCATGGCAAGAATAATGAGCCAATCCGTGGCTATGTCCTGACATTTGTTATTTCTGTGGCCTTCATTCTCATCGGTCAGTTCCAGTTTATATCATGGGCTGGTCATATCATCCTGACATCTTTATAGCAACTAACACCTTATACTTTATCAGAAAATGAATTTGAGGTTGTCAGTAAATGAACTGAAATGTCAAGTTAGCGGGAAAGGACTATTATGCGCTGTGAAAGAATCTGAGTTGAATTCTCATTAGAGGTTTTTGTCACCATACTGTAGGTACTCTCAACACAATCGCTCCTATCATCTCAAACTTCTTCCTGGCATCTTATGCACTCATTAATTTCTCCTGCTTCCATGCATCCTACGCTAAGTCTCCAGGTGGGTACAGATAAAGTAGCTTATAAATAAAATATGTTTCCAGTAGGCTGAATTCTGCTTGTTTCCATTCACTAATACCTCAAGTTTTTTTTATGTACAAGTGCATAGTAACCAGTAGATATGAATAATATATAAGTGGTTTAAATAGGACACTGTCACAAAAAGCCATTACTTAGGACAAACTGATTTGCATTAGATTATTAGATTTTGATTTGTTAACAGTCTGCAGCTATTTAAACCAGACTGTCTTTGCTCATGCTTTTCCCAGGCTGGAGACCAGGATATAAATACTACAACATGTGGCTATCACTGCTGGGCGCATTGCTTTGCTGTGTTGTTATGTTTGTCATCAACTGGTGGGCCGCTGTCCTCACATATGGCATTGAAATCCTACTCTATATTTATGTCACAGTTAAAAAGCCAGGTGAGCTCTGTGTGCATGTTCACATTAAGTCCATTCATGATGCCTGCATGGTAGAGATAACATGTTAAATCTCTTATTGTCTCTCTAGATGTGAACTGGGGTTCATCCACACAGGCGGTGACATTTGTGAGTGCAGTCAGCAATGCTCTGTCTCTGTCTGGTGTAGAGGACCATGTCAAAAACTTCAGGTAAAGTCTGCACTGCAGCACTGCGAGTGCAATTATAAAATAATACAACTCATTCAAAATTGGCCTTTACAATATGACATATAAGAACTAAAACAAAAAAAAATCAAAGTACATTTTCAGAGTCCTACAACACCAAGTGACATTTTAACACATTCCTGTTTTGTTGTCAGGCCTCAGGTCTTAGCGCTGACAGGTTCAGTACGGACCAGACCGGCTCTCCTAGACCTGGCTCACTCCTTTACTAAGAACTATGGACTCTGTCTCACCTGTGAAGTGTTTGTGGTAAGGTTATACAGTAATGTCAATATTTGAAAATGTAAACCATGAACATTACCAAGGCAGTGTGTATTGTTTTCCCCAATATTTATTTAAATATCAATCTTCTTTTTAAAATAAAGATTTGCACACTGGATGAATATCAACTGTACAGATTTCGCATGTAATGAAGATCCAAGTGAATATCAAGCAGGGATCCAACTGTATGGATGCCTGACATATAAAGTTTAGGGTCAGTTGTGTTTTGTGAATATGAAAACGGTGTATGCGGGAACTCTGTCTCCCTCAAACATAGTCACATACAGCTCTACATTGTGATCTCTCCAGGGCCCGAGATCAGAGGTTTTCCAAGAAATGAATGCTAACATAGAGAAGAACCAGCTGTGGCTTGGGAAGACCAAACGCAAGGCATTTTATGCTGGTGTGGCCTGTGACACTTTCAGAGAAGGGACTGAAAGACTACTGCAGGTCAGTTTGATCATGGTCATGATATATATCTGTGTTACAACACTGGTCTAGACCTGTGATTAGAGTTAAGCCAAGACGTTAGTGCAGGAGGAAGACGAGGAGGAAGACAATGAGGAGCTGGGAAAACAGTTTTATGACTTAGGCTATCACACATGAGATAAGGCCTCAGTTCATTGTCAGGATTGCTTACTTCAAACAGAACAGTAGAATAAAAGCTATAATTGATTAACACTGTATTGGATAAACAACCGCAGATAAAGTGAGATCTTCCGAGTGATCTGGTCATAACTTCTGGCAGCAAAATAGTTTCATAGTCTTCTTGTCTAGGTCAAGGCCTGGGCCAGTTTATTTATAGAGCACGTACACAAGGAAATTCAAAGTGCTTTACAAAATAAAACAGAACCAAACAATCACAAATATCACATAAGGAAGACTATAATATAAAATGCAACAAATTAAAATAAAGTAGTGTTTTGATCTTAGCTGTAAATGCGGCCAGATTAGGGACTTGTTTTAGCTCCATGGGGAGTTTTCTTTCACCTGTACACAGCATAATGGCTGAACGCAGCTTCTCCAGTTTAATTCTCACCCAAAGTTCAGTCCGTTGATAATTTTCAGCAGGTCTAAGGGCTCTGCTTGGTTAGTATATTAGTATATTTTAAGGAGGTCAGATATATATTTTGGTGCCAGACCATTAAGAAATGTATAAACCAACGTAAGTGCTTTAAAATCTATTCAGTAGGAGACTGTCAGCCAGTGCAGTGTTTTCAGGACACAGGGGATGTGTTCAGTTCTTTTAGTTCTAGTTAAAATTCTAGGAGCATTATTCTGGAGAAGCTGTAGTTGTTTGATAGTCTTGTGAGGGAGACTGGTTAAAAGACAGCTGCAATAGTCCAGTCTACTGGTGATGAAAGCATGAGTGTGTATTGAAGTCTCCAGTCATCACAATATGATGCTAATCCACCTAGATTGTGGACAGTATTTTAGCAAAGTTATCCAAGAAGATTGTAATTGACCTTGGTGATCTATAAACTGTTAGAAGTAATACTCTGGGCTTAGCTTTTAGCTCAAACCAGAGACGTTTGACTATATCAAACTTCCTATTGTTCAAGTGTTCACATTTCTAAACATCTTTTAAAATGGCAACAACTCCCCCACCTGCTCTGCCACATCCAGAAATGTTCATAAAATTAAATCCTGGTGACGGTGATTTAATAAGAACAAGCCCATTACTACTGTCATCCCACCAAGTCCTTGTCAGAAAGATAAAGTAACAGTCATTTGTGGTAATAAAATCATTGTTTAAAAAAGATGTAACTGAGAGACCTCATGTTTAGTAGACCGAAGTGCAAGGGGAACATGCTGGTCACTAGCTATATGAAATTCCAGCTTTTCCATGGATGCTCAAAGGTTCAAAAGAGCCAGTCTATCATATATGATGAGGACTCATGGCGCCATCTTGATCTAGGACATGTTGAAACCTTCTGAAGATTTTATCTTCTCTAGCTAATGAAGGGTCTTATCTTTTTGTTATGAGTGTCACAATTTTCCTTACAGGCTTCTGGTCTTGGCCGTATGAAGCCCAACACATTAATGATAGGCTTCAAGAGGAACTGGAGAACTGCGGGCGTAGAGGCAGTGCAGAGTTATGTGGGAGTATTGCAGTAAGTCACAAATAAGCACATACAATAACACAACAACAACACACCCAGTAATTAAACACGCAGAAGATCTGTGGTTTGAACTGATGTCCTTAATCTTTTTTTCCTTTTAAACAGTGATGCATTTGACTTTGAGTATGGGACAGTGATGCTGAGGATGAACCAGGGACTTGATGTGTCACACCTTATTGAGGCAGAAGGTCAGTGTGAAAACATGTTTGGAGTGTTCGTCTACAGAAACTACTGCCTAAAAAAACTGATGGCAATTAAGTGGCTTCAAAACAACAGCATGATATATAAAGGGGGAAATGTTAACACAACATTGCAGAAAAATATAATAGAAGGTTGTATAAGCAAAACAGAAGAAGAAAACATACATTTAAGAGAGAGATTAGTAGAGTAAAAAGCCACAATAACACTGAAAGAAAAACAGAAAAAAATAGTTCCTTGTTTTAAGAAAGGTTCTAAGATATATAATACAGAGAGAGCGGAAGTCGACCTGAGATAACTTCAAATCAATTTCAGCTTTTTTAAACTACCAAAAGAATTGCAAACATACAACTGCACTGCTGTTGTAGTCTTTGAACATTTAGTATCACAACCACAAAATAATACTGATAAGCCCGGGCACTTTGTTCTGTAGATATCAGTCTACATTCGAAAATTATCAGATAGGATGCGAAAATAACTCCCAGTTTACAGCTGTGTCTCTGTAGAACCTTTTACAGTAATCATATCTAATGTAACACATAAGCAGCATGACTACATAAATTTTATAAACCAGAAATCTGACTCTGTCTTTCAGAGGAGATGCTAAAGGCAGTGAGGGAGCAACAGGCACTGGAGGATGAGATGATGCCAAATGGAGACAAAGCAAAGGGCCTGTTCAGGAAGTCCAGGAAACCCTCTCAGCAAGTGATCACGACCAGAGGTATCTATCTAAGGGTTATTTCTCTCTGTTAAACTCTTGCCTGACATTTCAGAAAAATTTGATCTTAAGATACAGTATTTTAAGCAAAGGTTGCATTAACACATCAGAATGGCCTTTAGATATGTGGTTATCATACTGTATTTCCCGAGTCAAAGAATAAAATAAAATACATTTAATAAATGAAACCAGTGACACACATCTTTTTTTTAGAAAGTTCTCCACACTCCCATGCAGATATAATTGATTCAAACACTCTCACTAAAGATGCCTCCAAGTGTGTAATTCAATAATATGGTTTCTAATACGATCCCTTTTATTCCAATTTGAAGAGCATCTCTTAAGAGCAGCCCTTTAACCCAGACAGCAGAGGGTACTTGCAACTGCTCACTTGATCCATCTGTCTCAGCATCACACACAAGCATGTGCACATACACCACTGAGCTGCAACTTGGCAAGATGGTGATGACCGTTACTATCAGGATCCTAGTCACTGGAACATTAGGCCTGAGAAATGGTTGTTCCTGCTCACGTATTGTAAGCTTTTAATCTCGGTTTGCCCTACCTCCCACTTAACTCTCCATGCTCAGTCAGTAAATTACATTCTGTCCTACAGTTACTTTCCCTCATGCTGTTGTCGTTTCTCATATCTTTTTCCCCTCAGTGTCAGTGTGCAGCCCTCCACCTCCGCAGGTTGCCAAGATGAATGAGAGACTGTTGGAAGCCAGCATGCAGTTCAAGAAAAAGCAGCCTAAAGGCACCATTGATGTGTGGTGGCTGTTTGACGACGGAGGTAGGTGCTGGTTCTCTTAGATACAGGACATATCACCTCCTTGATGATAGAAATCCATACAACCTGCACACTGAAGAAACGTGAGTACAATAAACAGAACCTGAATAAATAACATCAAAAGAGAAGAAAAGATGACAAACTAGAAGTCATCAATGTAAGCTCAGAACAAACATTAAACTCTTTGATGCCATGTACAAATCTAACTCTCATGTTACTACTAAAGGGATGGCAAACTGAAAAAATTAACCCAAAATGCAAACATGCAGGTGAAGTTCAGTGGTTTATTCTCTACACAAAGGGGGAAACAGAGGATTACATTCATTCCAGAAAGTCAAACTGAGCTGGGAGAATCAAAGGCTGAGAGAGTGTACAAAACAGGGGTCAACTGCAAACAACCAGCCCAATCAGAGCAATAAATCTAGGGTAGTAAACAGAGGCAAAGTCCAGAAACAAGCAAAGTTGGAACACAAGGGGGAACGCAAGAATATATTATAAGATAGCAGAGATCTGAAGAAACTAGGAGACTAAAAATGCAGAGAGTGAGACAACTGAGGCTACAAAAAGCACAAAGCTACATGTAAATGCAACAGAAAATCCCTCACTTTTCCCTGTGTCTTAGTTCCACCCCTGTTAGATGTTGTAAGATGTGAGGAAAAAATGTTAGGAGAGAAGAATCAGGGAAAGACACGTCATATGGTAAATTTCAGTTCCCTCAACTGATCATTCCTCGCTCCTCACTCAACCCTGGAAGTTGTTCCAGTCTGTCATCTTGAATGACATCCCAAAGCTCTCACTCCTGCTCTGCAGAGCGAGGATCAAGGAGTGAAGAGACTGCCTGGGGGATACAAGTGATCACTCTTCAGGGAAGTAGTTTATGGCACTCCTCTTTATCAAAAATTAGCTAATGATTGATTCAGATGAAGCACTCGAGGACAGGACATATCTTGTCCTTAAAAACATGTTTCCTCCATTCCTCTCATCTTGCAGTTTTTCCTTGGATCCTTTCCTCAGATTTCAGGTGGGTGACTAAAATGCAAAATATATATGCAAGTGAGGCAAACATAGATGCCAATTAAGGGATTTGAGATTTACTCATAGACATGGACACGTACTTTCCTCCAATCCTTCATCTGATAAAGGGCCATGTTGGTCCATAAAAGACTTCCTCTAAGGATGGTCTCTTGTATCCCTCATGCCTCATCCTAGCAGCATCCTCACTCTTCAGAGCAGGAATAAGAGATTTGTGATGTCCCTTGAGATGGCAAAATGGAATAACTTCCAAGTCGAGCAAGGATCCAGGAGTGGGGAACAATCATATAAGGGAACTGAGATTTACCCTTTGTCCAAAGAAGAGTCCAGAGGTAAAAGGGCCAAAAAAACATGGAGCAGAGGCAGGAACAGGACTAAAGCTGTGACAAATAACATTCCTCTAAATTACTGTTTAATAATATGACTTCTGAACTAAAGCCTATTGATATGTTAATAGATAATACTAATAGTCAGAAATGCCAGATCTGGATCATGACCAAAAGCTAATCACTGTGTCCTGGCCCAAGCTTGATCATGGAGATGCTGTACTAAGTTTTTGAGCTCTCCTGATAAAAGAAGCAAAAACATAAGCATCTTGGCAAATGAGAAATACAAAGATGTATAATTTACATAATAACACCAACTGGATTCATTGGTATTACAATAAAAAAATCCAATTCCACTCTCTCAGGTCTTACCCTGCTACTCCCCTACATCCTCACCACCAGGAAGAAGTGGAAAGATTGTAAACTAAGGATCTTCATCGCAGGGCAGCCAGAACACAGTGACCTGGATAAAGAAGAGTGAGTACAAAGAACAAAAAATGAATGATTGAATATCAATTCAGTCTTAATGGGTAGAAGGTAGACTGTGCATATTCAATGTCAAATATTAAAATTCATGAGCCAGTATTTTATAGGACATATTATTTAGCGTTAAACAAAAATAATTGCCAACACAAAGTTATTCAGTGTGGAATAATCTGTCTTGCAGGATGAAGTCTCTATTGCAAAAATTCAGAATTAACTGCAGTGACATCCATGTCATTGATGACATCCATGTCAGACCCAGCTCTGAGAGGTAGCTACTTTTATTTCTGTTATAAAAATGACTGCAAACCGGATGGTGCAACAGTAATAGTAAAATGTAATCCCCTCATAATATCACTATATTATATGATAACAAAAATGAACATTTTCCACTGCCAGCTCATATCCTTATCTGCTTTCCTCCAGCTTAAGGAAGTTAGGGGACATGATTGAGCCTTTCTGTCTGCACGAGGGTTCTAAAGACGCTGCTCAGGCTGAAGCCATGCAGAGAGATCAGCCCTGGAAAATCACAGACAAAGAGCTGAACTCCTTTGAGGAGAAGGTAAATCCACTGACACCATACAGCATAGGCATAATTATGTGTTAGCTCAGTTTGTAGTTGGCCATTAATCAGCAAAATTTGATTGACATTCATTATTAAAAAATAACTGCTGCCATTTTACAGACTAACCTCCAGGTACGACTGAATGAGGTGATTAAGGAAAACTCCAGATCAGCCAACCTGATCTTTGTGTAAGTATAACCAGCTGGTGGCTGAATAAGAATGAAATTCCTAAATTAATTCAGTGTCTAAAATACTATCTGTACCCTCGTGCCCTGCAGGAGCATGCCCATTGCTCGTAAGGAAGCTATCTCTGATTTCCTCTATATGGCCTGGCTGGATATTCTAACAAAGGACCTTCCAACTACCCTGCTCATTAGAGGCAACCATAAAAGTGTGCTTACTTTCTACTCCTGAGCACCATAAACAACAAAGTACTAGGAATAATGAGGAACCATGTTCATAAACCATATGAAGACCTCATGCTGTGATTGTCTGTCAGACCAATACCAAAGTATAACACAGTCCAGCATTTGTAGTTACTGTAGGTCCGAATGAAGGTATTCATACTCAGTTTCTCATATGAACATAGAGTAGCTGAGCAACTGTTCCACTTGCAAATTTATAAATGCTAAGCAATAAATAGAAGACAAAAACAAAAATTGTTCACTTGGTGTACTTGAGAGTAATGTAATAAAAAATCATTTTCAGTCACAGTTAAAATCTTGTTAATAATTTCCTATTAGCTTGTTTTATTGCTCCATCTGGTATGCACTATTTCACAAGGACTGGTGACAAGTTGTGGTTTGGTAAGGAATTATTTGTACTGTGTGAAGTTGCAGCCATGCTGACTTTTTTTTTAGCATGATACACTGAGAAGCTACCAAAGTATACTGTTCTGCTGCTGGTGGTGGTCTAAATAAACAAAAATGCATTTCCTGAATGTCTGAATATGAATTTTAGGAGCTTACGCTCTTCACAACCATGGGCAGGTACAGATATGCAAATATATTGCAGGACTAAACTCAGAATCTTGGGTTAGAACGAAGCCAAATCAAATCTTCGTAACACAGTTTGATCAGTTTGGTAAACACAGGCAGAGACAGATTGGCTGCTTCCAGTGGTTACACTGAGTGACAATATTACCTGCCGCTACCTTTATATTCACTAATAAATATTGTTGAGGAGAAACCTTTAAAAAAAACTAATAGCATTATATTAGTGACATATCAGTTCTTAAACATTGGAAATAATCTCTTGATTAATTTTTAAAGTTACATTCTTTGATATTCACAGAGTGCAAAATACAATGCTATCATAAAGCTGTTTACCTGTTCCACATTATATTGTTTAAATATTTTAATGTTACACAGTACACTTTGTGTTTAAGGAAAAATTATTGAAACAAAAGATTGTAAACCCAGTTCTTCTGTATATTTAGCATATTTTCCATTTTTCTATTTAAATATATAATTGTGATTATTGAAATAAAGAATTGATTAAATCTGTTTTTATTTTTGGCTCTGTCATTTATTAGATGAAATAACATCAGATATAGTTTCCCCAGAGAAACGCATCAGTGGAGGTGGAATCTTTTTGTCATTTGTTTTTGAAATGCTTGAACACTGCTTCACTATTTTAACTTTTTGAAGCTACAACCTACTTTCAATTGTAGATTCTTTCTTGTTATTAGACTGTTGTTACATTTTGGCATAACCAGTGCTTTATATACAAAACAAATATAAAGTCTATGCACCTCATCGGAAACAAATACACATTTATTGAACAGATTTAGGGTCTCTAAAAGGTGTTTATGGTGGTGATATATGCACAGTGAATATGAGCACTGTCAACTCACCCTGACTGGAAATACTGATTTATTTCAAATGGAGGCAGCACCTGGACTTGAAATCTAAGATTTAGGATCTGATTATGAGCTCAAGTGATAACAGTTTGTGATGAAAGTCATTAACAATTAGTTTGCTGCACAATGGATTTTGCAGGCTATTAGTCTATAGCCTATTATGATTAGATAATATAATTGCATTACGATCAGTTAGTTACTATATTGACTTATGTTATTGAATAATAGTTGTTGAGCATTTAAGGTAAAATTTATGAGGACACTGTATGATCTCAGCCAAAATGTAGGCTACTTCTAGGTTTTAGCTAAACCTACATATCGTCCTGTAGACTACACGGTTAATTACAAGTAAAATGCATACAAAGTTTAAAGTAGATTGGTATTGCCATCAAAATCCACTTTAAAAGTCTAACAATCCCCTATATATAGGCCCAACCTGTCAAATAAATGTAGCGTTACTGAAGTAACGTTACAGTGTTTGCCTCTGAAATCCTATAGCATGAGTGTAAGTGAGGAAATAGGCTAGCGTTAAAGTTGTGAAACTAGACTAGATACTAGGACAACTTTTCACCTTCGTCTGTGTCGCCATTTAACCATATAAATAAAATGTGCTATAAATCGTTAGGATGTGCAACAGAAACAACATTTTTCTTCTACCCAAAATGCTTTTGTTTAATGCAGAGGTCTACTAAAGCGCGAGAGCCATAAGAAGAGGAGGAGGAGGAGGAAGTGAAGTGTGACTGAGAGCAATCAGCTGACAGGATGTGCTTATAGTTAGGGGTTAGCATAATAGCGACGTTAGCAAATATGATACGATGCTTATTAGGGAAAAGTCGATTGCATTCGTTATATTATGCTGCTCCACGTTTCTTGGAAAGGGAATTTCATGTTCAGACGTCCAGTCAAAACAAAGGCAAGCATGAAAACTGAATGGCTAAAATTACCATCAGTAACATATTAGGTGCTTCTTAATATTAGATTGCTAGCCTATCTAGCATTTTCTAACTGAGCTCTTTGGTTGTTGCATTATCGTGTACTGAACACATAAACAGTGCCACTGCTACACCTGTTTATTCCGGCGCAATGCGTTTGTAAAGTTGTAGTTAATGATCCTGTTAATATTTTGTTATGTTTTTGTAAACATTTAGTTGTTAAATTTTCCAGTAATTCTCGCGATGATGAAATGGTTGCCATAGTTACACAGCATATTACCTTTTTTTCCTCTATTTATTAAATCGTTTTTCTCCCCAAGCACTCCCAAAACAGTTCTGCAGTCTCTTGTATATGTTATTGGATGTCTGTTGAGTTTGTGCTATATATTAGTGTCTCTTCTTTTTATTATGATGTTTATTGATTTATTGTTTGCAAGCTAACTTAAGGTGCATTATCGCCACCTGCTGGGTTGGAGTGTGGAACGGCATGAACAACTAAATCCTATTCTAAAATACCCATATCTGCCAAATAACTAAAAACAATTTTATATGCTGTCTTACAGTTACTGCCTAAAAGACTCTCTAGTGATATATTAGTAACCTTTTTTTCTATTGATGCTACCATATGAGCTTTAAAGTGTCTCTTTAAGAGCCCTGGCGGAAATGCACGTGGGCTTGCAAACAGCCAATCACAATCTAAAGAGAAAAGGCACTGGTTGCCGCATTAATTCAAAATTACTACAGTCTCTTGGCGGTCAAGTTAGTAGGGCAGTAGAGGGTTTTAACCTTAATGCTGTATTAGTTTTTAATCTCCTTGTCAGGAATTAATAGGTTTTTAGTACGTTTAGGTTTTTTAGTGCACTATCGGTTTTTAACTGAAAATTCTGCTAAAATGCCCGTCCTAGAATTTGCAGATGGTTCTCCAGTTTCTCCATCAAAGAAGGCAAGGACTGAGGAAAAGCCTCTCCTTAAATTTGCTAAACTATCAGAACATGCCAGGACACCTACCAAAGGCTCATCTAAAGCTGCAGGATATGATCTCTACAGGTTGGTTTTTATTTTAAATTCAAATTAAGCATGGGTTCACTAATATATTAATGTGAGCAGCTGATGTAAGACCTTTTAATGCATTTTCTTAAGTTGTAATATAGTTTTTGTAAAAATCAAATTCTACATTTCCCTTTTACATTTTTGTAACGTTAAACGTGTAGCTTGTACTGTTGGCTGAATCTACCTGCTTAAGTTTGCTTTGTACGAAAGTGTGTGTAACATGAATAATGTTAGTAAAATAGCTAACCTTAGTTCTCCACTAAAACAGTGCATATGATTACTCCATTGGTCCTATGGATAAGGCCATAGTGAAGACAGACATTCAGATAGCAGTTCCGCATGGCTGCTATGGGAGAGTGGGTAAGTGTTTGACATGCTAATAGACATTTTTCACAGCAGACATTTTGAGTTGTCACAGTGGAAAAAAGCACAGGTGTAGCTAATAACATTAACAATGGCTGAATTCCATTAAGTGTACCACTAAACAGCCACTCAGCAAGGATGTGCAACACCATGAGTCTGGAAATGTGTTATCAGTTACACATGTGCATTTCCTACTATGGCATGTCAAAATGTCTGCTGTGAAAAAGTTCTCTGCAACCCTGCATGTTTATCTGTCTGGTTACTGTAGTTTTCTGACAGTTGGTATGTTTCTCAGTGCATGTGGATTCAAGATGGCATTTTCTGTTGGTGGATAATATTTTACCACTTGTCATTTTTTTTTCCTCTTAGCACCGAGATCTGGACTGGCAGCAAAACATTTCATTGATGTTGGAGGTGAGTCTTTACCTGCTTAGACTGAGAATCCTTATGAGCAGGTAAGGTTTCGGTCATAATTTCTGTTTCTGTATGTTCTCAGCTGGAGTTGTCGATGAAGACTATAGGGGCAATGTGGGAGTTGTGCTGTTCAACTTCAGCAAGGACACATTTGAAGGTTAGTAATCATCATTAAATACATAAGATGAAGCACTGATATAAAGCCATAATGATCGTGCTTCTTTTGGAGCGTTTCTGGAGGAGCATTATGAAGTTGCCTGAAGTGAAAATATTCATCCTAGTTTAGTGGTATTCACTTTACCATCGGTGTCATTAAATTTAAGCATAACATCCCATGTGGTGGTGGGGGTTATCGCATTCACATGGCAAATATCATTAAAAAGTCCAAAAAGGTGCAATTAGCAGAATTCACAAGTTCATTGCATCCAATACACACAAGAAAAAGTAATGGTACTGTTTGCAGTTTCCTGGATTTCTGCATAAACTTGTAATGAAATGTGATATGATCTTCACCCAAGTCACAAATATCAACTAGAGAAATGCATTTCCTGTCGTAAATGCTTATGGATGCTGATCAGCTGAAATATCGTCCTGAAAATGCCTGAAATCAATTGCTGAAACGGCTGAAGGATGAGAAGAAGTGGCTGAAGTTCTTTGTTGAAATAGTTGAGAAAATGAACAGCATGTTTCTAAACTGATAAGTCATGATCATTCATGTCTTTATCGAACATGCCCATTACACATACAAAGTGAGTGATGGAAACAATAATGGCAATAGTGTTTTAATAACTGGTTGAACCACCTTTGGCAGCAATAACCTCAAGCAAGTGCTTCCACTAGCTGTGTGTCCTGCACAGTGCTAAGGAGGAAGTTTGGACCATTCTTCCTACAGAACTGCTTCAGCTCAGCCATATTCCTAGGACATCTGGTGTGAACGGCTCTCTGTTCAATAAAGATATGAAAGATCATAACTGTGTGTGTTTTATCAGCTTAGAAATATTGTTTGATATTTGTGACCTGGGTGAAGACCAGATCACATTTCATCACCAATTTCTGCAGAAAACCAGGAGATTGCAAATGGTGCCATTACTTTTTTTCCTGTGACTGCTGATAGTGTAAATTGTCCTCTCCATTTTGCAGAACACTGAAAGTAGTCTGAAAATAAGAATTTCACATTCACTCATCACATCACATTTCACTTCTAGACTAATGAATGCGAGTAATATCATTTTTCCACTAACATTCATTTTGCACAGATTCACAATAATTTTCTTGTCCTTCTCTTGCACTTTGTTTTCCAGTAAAAAAGGGTGACAGAGTAGCTCAGCTGGTGTGTGAGAGGATTTGCTACCCAGATCTGGTGGAGCAAGAGGTAAAAAGCAAAAACATAATACATGCACTCAGTGGGCAGTTTATTAGATACACCTAGCTGAAACTCATGTAGTCTAGTACAACAGTCCTGCAATAAATCCTTTTACAATGCTTGTATATAGTCTTTACTGCATATAATTCATACTCAAAGTAGAACTGAAGTCGATTTTAAAAAAGTTTTTCCAGTCATATATTTTGTCATTGAAGATTTCTTAAAAATAGTGTGAAAATATCATCTCGACTTGTGAGCCAAGTATATCTTCACACCCCTAGCTGAACTGGACTGCATTATACAGACATGTTTGTCTCTTGGTTTAATCTCATTTAAATGGGGTGGGTTGTTATTTGCATTATTTATAGCTGTGTACGTAATAAACTGCCAAATCTATGCTTTCCCTGTCTAAAATAGTGTACTTGTGCACACAGTGTCAAATGTTCAATAGATCTTTTTACTGCAGTATGTTTTTTTTTTTCCATGTATGTATCAAACTATTTTTAATAATCAGATGAATATTTAATCAGAAGGTGTGATTGTCTTACAGACACTAGATGACACAACGCGTGGTTCTGGAGGCTTTGGATCAACTGGACGCAACTAAAGGCTCCAAATATACTTGAAGCAATGTACATGTTCACACTGGTTTTATATGGTAATAAAGTTCATTTTTTTGTACTTTGTAGAGTCTGTCTTTGCTGGGAATGCCACCTAACAAGCTCTTAGTAACAGTTTTGAGTCCCACTGAACATTTGTTTGACCCTCCAGAAACTATAAAAATATAACTTTCTAAGTGTCCACATGGGGGCAGTGCAGGACAACAACTGTGTCTTAGCCTAGTGAATAAACCCAAGCTTGGCTTCAGTGGAGAAGTTGGTATAGTGGGATCTACACTAGCTAAAACACTCAAATTATCATGTTGCATGTGACTAAAAAAGAATATCTAACACAACCTGGGTGTTGGACTTAGCTAAAATAGGATAGATCAAGCTGGATAAAGGCGAGAGCACAGCAGTGAATACACATATACCAAAAATGTTTTATTGTGAATTTACAGCTAAACCCTCACTGATGTGAACACAGAACAGACTGGTCCGTGGCAATGCAGCACTGATTGTACTTGTGAGAGGATGTGGCCACGAAGACCTCAGTGCATAATCATTAAGGCCCAGGTTTGGCATCATCAATGTGTGTTGTGTGTGAATGTATACACAGCTTACAAAGGAAGTAGTTGGTCATTTATAAGCACCATTACAAAGCCCTCCATTTCAAGGGCTTTGTCTACTTTACAAATTCTTCATAGATAAAACTTGCCATTGATTATTACAGTATAAACACAATTTACATTGAGTATAAGGGGAGAGCGAACAGGCTATGAAGCTAGCTGTTACGGTTGCAAAGACATGGAATCAGAACATAGAATCTTTACTATTTGTATAGGAGCAAAGTGCACTCAGAAGTTATTTGGTAGCATTGCTAGCACCAGTAAATATGCATTATTCTAGTCCATAGGAAAGATGGAAAAGCACTTGAAATATGCAACAGGAGTCATTCACGCTCAGACATGGCTACATCTCTATAGTCCATATTGAGTTTCTTTCCTCTCCTAACCATTCTCAATCTTTTTTTCATATTCACTCCATTAAATTAATATCTGGGGAAGGAGAGATGCATTTACTTTAATGTATCCAGGTTTGTTCAGTCATTTACCTGAGGGGAGGAAATGAATTTATTTCAGACTACTGGGACTCACCCTTCCACAAAACAGTCTTTAAAGCTTTCTGCAGTCCACATGCCCTTAAAAATGGCAACTGATTCCACATATCATTATAGAACATTAAACCCTACAATTAAAAACCATTGTCACTCACAGAATAGTGCTTTACACATAGCTGAAGTTAAAAAAAAAAAAAAAAAAAAAAAAAAAAAAACCCCCTTTTTTTCAGTGGGTTTCCACAAAAAAATAAAAAAAAACAAAAAAAAAAAAAAAAACATACTCCCTTGTTCAGCTGGTATTCCACAGAAACTGTATCTATGTGTAGAATCATCTTTGGCAATCAAACGACAGTTCCTCCCCCCACCCCCCTCTGGTCTCTTTGGTGGTGAGCTCTTGTCCCTGTTGGATCAGGTAGAAGTTGCCCCAAACCACTAATCCAGAGTCCAATGTTTGGCCTTTTTGGGAAGTGTGAGCCTGACACTGGATTAGCAGCTGCTGGCAACATCTACCCATCTGAGTCTTGTAATGGTTAATGGAGGATGATCTGCACCCTCATCTTCAGTATGTCTCCCAGCTGTCCTGTGAGGTAGTCTTTATCATGTCGGTCCTCCAACTCGGCCAGCTCCTTCTTCCTGTACAGGGGCATGCTACTGATCTGAAGGTAGTACGCCCCTGGGGGGAGGACCTTCTTCTTGGTCAGATGCAGGTAGCTGACACCCTCTCTCTGGTTGATCTTGAAGTAGCCTTCTTCATTTCCATAGTCAATGCTATAGCGCACATGGTCACTGAGGGTGGATAAGGCTGGGGTAAACTCGAGAATGTGGTCACGGTTACTCATGTCACTGATGTTCAGGTGTAACCTCAGGGTGTCCTCGATGTCCACACTGGCCAAACTGATTTTCTCCTCAGTCAGCTACAGAAAGAAAGTGTGAAACTGATATGTAACCCTCAGTACAGTATCTTTCCTGTCATTAATCGAGAGGTAACAAGACAATTGGCAATAAATATACACACTGTACATACATACAGTAGCTGTTGGCAGGATTTTTAGCAGATCCTGAGGAAGGGTGTGATGATATACTCACGATACCATACGTGATATTGGGTTCATGAGATTGAGATGATATTTTAACAAATCTTCAATGACATATGATTGGAGAAAGTCGCAAAACACTGCAGGTGCATTTTGAAATGTTTTAACTAATCATCTTGTAATGTCTGTCACTTCAGTTCTGCTTTGTATGTAAGTATGAATTATCATATGCAGTAAAAGACAACAATATGCAGGCACTGTAAAAGATCTTATAACTGCATGAACTATACCTAAGCTTCTAACTGAAGTTGTGTGTGACCTTCTGTGCTATTTTCACTCACACTGCACCGCACAGTGACATCTTCCAGCAAACGCGCTACATGGACCTATCATGTACAGGGTGACAATCGGGATGTAGATGCCCATAGGAAGAAGATATTTGTTTACCTTGTTAGTATGAGCATTCACTGCTATTCAGTGTTGAATTTGGGCCACAATTAACACACAATGACAACACGCCACGCATTTTCATTAATGCTGGGTACTAAACAGGTTGTTACTAAAAAGTTGTGTTTTTGCTGGAATGCTCTGGTTCTGTTATGTACCGCTATTGCGAGGCAGCTTTTACCTCAACGAGAAATATCATGTTTTAATATCGCGAGATCTCATCACACCCCTAGCCCTGAGTACACCCCCTACCACCCTGAGATAATTTCAACCAGAAACCAACAAGATAGTTTCTAACTTTTGGAAAATCGCTTTATTTGTTCAGTTATACTTTCTGCAAGTTTTACCTGCCACTATGAGCGTCTGCTCCATGTAGCCACAGCCCTGCATACAGACAAGACTGATTACCTGAATGCCTTCCACAGGATCCACCTGTGTTGAGTTGGTGCTGCGACGTTGGCGTCCTTTCTTGGGATAGCCATTGATCTTACATTCATAGCAGGCCTCAGGAGACAGAGAATTATCATCATCTACCTCAACTCCCTGTCCACTGCTGGAGCTGCCACCAGGAAAGCCCATACCTGTGACACAGTGCCTGAAACAAAGACAAAACCATCAGTCAACAAGAAACATCCACAGACAGCTTTCACACACAGCTGTCCGCTCACGTACCCTTGTCCTGCACGGAAGTACCCGGGTGGACATGCACAGAGGTAGCCCCCATCTGTGTTTGAGCAGCCAAACTTGCAGGGGTTCTGGCTGGTGGAGCACTCATTGATGTCTGCGCAGCCTCCGCCGGTTTGCTCGTAGTTGAAGCCAGTGGGGCAGAGACAGCGGAAGCTCCCCAGGGTGTTGTGGCATGACGCTCCCCCACAGATCTGGCTGTTCAAACACTCGTTCTCATCTGGGTCACAGGAAGTTGATGAGAAATAAACAAGAGGTCATTCCAGTTAAAGGACAAAAACAGCAATGGTCTGCTACGAATGTTGTAAACACAGAGAGATTCAAACCAAACCAAGACACACAAACACTGTACCACACAATTACTTTGTCTATGCCTGAGCTATTTCTCATTATTTTGTTCTTGCAGATTTGGGTGTTGTACCACTCTTTTACTTGGTTTTTGTCCCTATTTCGTTTTCACATTGTCCCTTTAGTGAGCTACTTTCATCAACCTTTCAGGATAAATATATTAGTGTAGGCCTTCTCTAAGTAGGATATTAAGCATTTAGTTTTAATGTAACATTTCCTTTGCTCATGATTTTACCACAATAAGAAGAGGATTGAAAAGGAAAAACATTTCAGACACATTTACTGTATATATATTAATAGTGGCAGGAAATAGGTGAGGAACTGATAACTTGTTTTAAAAAGTCAGACTGTAGTCCAGAACATCAAGGCTGGGTTGTACATACTTGGTTAACCAAGTCACCAGGTGAAAAGGAAAAGAAAATGAAGGGAAGGAAATAATTTTTATTTGCTGATACAAAGACTAGTGGTATTTCTCACCCACACACTGGTTCCACTGGTAGTGCTGCAGGTAGCCTTGTGGACAGCTGCACCTGTATCCACCCACTAAGTTCTGACAGCCATGCTGACACCTGTGACTGCCATCACACTCATCCATATCTGTCAGGAACAAACATACACACATAAAGACTACTGTAAGAGCCTATTTTCTGTAATTAATCAGCTGATACTGAGGTCGCTATGAATTGTTTGACCTTCGCAGGTTTGCCCATTAGGATCTAATGAGAATCCCCGCTGGCACTCGCAAGTGAAGCTCCCCGGAGTGTTCTGGCAAACACCATTGGAGCTGCACAAATTAGGGTCCGTTGAACATTCATTGTTATCTACACAGAGAGAAGGAAAAGTTCAGACAAGGGTAATTGGATGTGCTGAGCTACTCAAGTTTTTGGAGAATCAGCACTAGTCTTGAAAAACAGGGCAAATCACTACAGACAGCTGCTGCAAAAACCTCACACTCTGCAGGAGTTTAAGAATAAAACCTGTCACCAATGGAGCCAGTCTCAGTCAAGAAGAGCTGACGACAAACACGAATGTGAATTCTTGACCTTAGGAACAATAGTTTGCCAAAAATAATCTAAAACTAATGTCCAGGAAAGCCTTTCTTAGAAAAAGGTAGTGACTGAGCCTTGACTTTAGATTACATTGTGAAATATCACCAGAATATGACTGTTGTGATTGAAATCTATGCAAATCTCAATATTATGATGTAGTTTCTCAAAGTTCAGAACAATGTAATTTCTAAAAGTGTGCCCTGTAGCCTGTGGACCAAAAAGCATTTCTAGTTACAAAATATAACATGCTGTAGATCTATAATCTGCATGTGTGTCTTTACCGATGCAAGCGGTATGATGCTGGGTGAAGCCTGGAGGACATTTGCAAGTGAACCCACCGATGGTGTTAACACATAAGAACTGACAATTATGTTGTTTGGTCGAACACTCATCCAGATCT